GAGCTGAGTTATGCTTCTTAGGAGTCTGCTAATTGCTTGGGTAATTAACAGTAGCAAAGACTGCTCTATGGCAAAACCTCATCTAAACCAGGTACACTAAGCCTAGTGATTTATGCAACACAAAATGAAAAAAAAATCACTTACTGCAGGCTCACATAATGTTTTTTGATTGTACCATTGTCTTTTTGTTCATTAATTTCTCCTGGTGTTGGGAAGTGAGGTAATGCTGATCTGGGGTTTGTGTAAAAAGCAGTATTTTTCTGAATCCTGAAAGAGAACATTTTCTGGACTATGAACAGCACAAGACCTACTTAATAAGTAGGAGAATAGTGATGAATAATACTGTTTACCAGTTCTTGGATGGAGTTAGCTTTAACTGAGATTTCACAATGAAGAGAAAAGCATCTTCTGCCAAATAATAAACAGACCATCTAAGGGGTACAAGAACATAGTTTCATTGTGCTCTGGATAAATGTCATCTTTGTTATTGCAGAACTAAGTTAAGAATGTTAAGTAAGTCTAAAGATGTAATTTTATTTTTAGTCTATTTGATTTTCTGTGTTACTAATCTGAGCCATGTATGCTTACAGTTTTCCCTCTTATTAACAAAGACAATTCAATATCCAGTTCATGATTATAGTACAGTTTTGAACCACACAGTAGACAACCAGTGTAATTTTTCTTTTGGAATTTGTATGATAATTTCAAGGTGAGATATCTACATAATGCATTGGACACACATATCTGTATACTTGTAGTTAAAATAACGTGCTTTAAGTTTGTGTGCATATACATTTTCTACTTATAATAGTAGAAAATAATCTATTGAAATAAATAGATATTTATCTCTTAAAAAAAGAGATGATAAAGTGATAATGTACCTTTCAATAAATATGAATCATAGGTGGGATGATTTTTGTTTATTCTTGTAGCTGATTAGTTTTAAATCTTTTAAAGCAATATGTTTTCTGAAAGGCCACTCATGCTAGTTTCTTGATGTCTGGAAGGGGACATCTTTTTCTCTCTTCTGACTCCATAGACCAAAATAAAATAAAACCTCAAGATGTCAAACAAGAATAGATGAGGAGAAGAAAGAAATACTTGTTCATCAGTGATAGAAAATTACATATTGAAGCTGCATGGCCTAGGCAACTTACTCATTAGGTTTATAATGAATTTATAAGCTGATGGTGACCAGGTTGTTCTAGATTTTCAGTTGTCACAATCTGCAACTTTGCTATTAGATTCACTAAAACCAAGCCATAACTCCTTATTGGAATATAAAATTCTGAATTTTAAAATGGCCTTGGAAAACTAGTGCTGGAAACAGGTTTTAAGTTATCCTCCAATTCCATAAAGGCTTTTTTAACAGAAATAACTGAGATTTTCATGAACACAGTTTAAAAAGTGTGTGTTTGCAGATGGGTCACAGTAGTTTCAGCTCTGGACTTGGTGACGCCAGGAGAAGTGGGAAACTACACAGTATTTGTGAATGCAAGATTTTGCATTTAGATAGGTTTGAGCTGAACGATCTGAAAAAGCTCCCATAAGCACAGAGCTCCTTACTGTCTGTGTGTTTGAGAAGGCTGAAGAGCTCTGTTTATTGCCACAAAGGGCCTGGAATAAATTATGTTTAGCAAATTGGCTCCAGGTTTTCTTGTTTCAGACAGTAGCTTCGGAGCAATCTGTTTTATGGGCTCCACGAGATGTGACCGATTGCGGGGAGGTGACACCTCGTTTTAGGGACGTTTCTGGGACGTGACATGGCACATGCGCCAGTCGGGTCTGGCCCCTCTCTCTGTCAGGATGGCAGCACACTTGCAGCTCCACTTTCTGTCTTCTGGCACTTCAAGCCACAGCCCAGTCCCAATTTATGGGCCCCGCTGGGAGGTCCGAGCAGGATGGAGCCAGGCTGCTCAGCCCCTCTCAGCCCTGTGCCTCCCGCCCCTATGTGGGGCAAATAAAAGCTCCTTTATTCCGCTGGAAGTGCCCCCGTTTCAGCAAAGTGTATGCATGGCTTCCTTCCCTGCTAGGTCTTGCAGGTGATAATTAACACAGTGCAGTGCTATTTCCTAGCTGAAGCCAAGGTGGGGAAGCAGCTTTAGCCTCAGCATTTTTCTTTTCAGACTCTTTTTCCTCATTTATTTTGGATCCGTTCATGGTGAGGAAGTTTTAGAAGGTGTTGGTCCTTAGCTGAAGTATCAAAGAACTAAACAAACCAGTAATTTTTTCCTTCTCTGACCAAATTTGTCTTACTTTTGAGGGGAGGAAGGAATAGGGGAGTCAAATTTGCTTTTAGGTTTTATGTTTTATTTCAGCTCATGGGACTGTTTGCTTGTGATCAGTGTGACTGTGGGTCTTTTCAGCACAGGACCCTGATTGACATTGCATGTGTTACAGAGAGGAAGGATATTTCCTGAAGATTAATGGCAAGTTAGTTGGCCTGAAGTTCATTAACCTGAGCTAGACTGTTGGAAGGACTCTGTGTGGAAGCTGGAATTGTATTAGAGGATCATCATAAACTAAAAATATATGTGACAATCTGGCCAGATTGCAATGAATCTAAAGACAGGACAGGGTTGGCTCGAGCTCACAGACCAGCTGCCTCCAGTGTAAACTAACCGCCTTGTGAAAGCAAATGGTTTTTCACAGACATTATTCAAATAAAAGGGAAAAGGGGGGAAAAAAAACCCAACCAAAAAAACCCGAAAGTTCCCATTAGCAAAAAATGCCTAAATGAAAAAGTGAGGTTGTGAGCTATGGTCAAAGGCCCGAGTTTGGTGCTGATTCTCAATCAATTCAGCAAATGACAGTGCATTGACACAGCTGGATTTTTAGTCAAATTTAGTCTTGATTCTTCACAGTAATTTGCGTCAAGAAAATGAGCCCCAAATCCTTTGGTGAATTCCCTGTTGGCCGAGGCCCAGACCTTCAGGCCATGACTTCTCAACATACTTGCAGTGAGACTGGCTCCCACTTAATTGCTTCTTTTTGAAGTATGGTTTGTCACTATCATCCTGCTGAAGATGAACAGGACTGGTGTCTCATCTTCATATATTCTTCCCCCTCCTCCCCTCCCCTTCTTTTCCCCTTCTTCCCCCTAAATAGATTTCTTAAAGGCAGTTTAACCCTATGGTAGTCTAATCCACATCAGTCCTTCGTGGTCCACCCTCAAATAGATGTGTTGGCACAGAAGTAAAGGCCTTCTCTTTGGATCTCATACTGTAATGAAGGGAAGGGAAAGATGAAACAGGCATTTCATGTTTGTCTGTTTTCTCTCCATGTCATCTCATGAACATGCACTCCCCTTGGCCAAGACCAGTGCATTCAGACACAATGTGAGTGTTGAAGAGGGGATTGAGAAGAAAGAAGCTCAGTGTTCTGCAATAGGAGCTATGCTTTGGGCATTTTACAAATTATTTCCCTCTTTCTCTTTCACCATCGTGCTCTTCTTGCACACTTCCTTGTCTTTTACTATTGACAGAAGGTCTGGAGGCTCAGAAAGCCCAAGTTTCATCTGAGACAGATTTCCTCTGTCAGAACTGTTTCCATCCTTTCATGCCAAGAAGGATGAGCTGCCTGCATCAGGAGGTGCTGAATTGGTTCTGGGTGCTGCTCTAGCTCAGAGTTGCCTGACCCAGTGCTGCAGGAGCTTAAATGCCAGACCAGGGGCCCCAAGCTGTGCTGCATCTCTCATGGGCTTGTAAGGAACCTCTCCTTTGATGTCTGTGCAAGTGCTGGCTGATGTGGGCACTAGGATTGCTCTTTTAATCAGGCAGTTCCAGTACCTTTCAGAAAAGAATTTTCATGGCAAGTCATGAGCCATTAATCTCTCGACTAACCATAACATTTCTTTACTCCTTGGTTTTACAGCATTACTCAAACACTGATATTTGTCATTTCACCAGCTGTCCCCCTTGACCTCTAGCATCATGCACTTGCAGGAGGAAGTATCTGATCTTACAAGTATTTTCATACTCTGATGTCTGTGATTTATTAACCATCAAGTTTTGCCTTCAGAACTCAAGATGCCGTTTAAAATAATTTCATGTGCAAAAGTGGAGTTATTGGGCAAAAGGGATTCTTGATAGCTGGGTACAAAGGACACCAGGATTGCTGTTGCTGTTTTCTTTTCAACTACTGTGCTGTATGACCTTGAGGAAATAGGTTCACTGCAGCTTTATGATTCTGTTTTTGCATAGGGAAAATAAGGACAGTGATAATTGCTTTCATTTGTAAAACACTTCAAGATTTATGGAATATGAATGACACTTATTAAGTGAAAAGTGCTGCAAAGCTGGCTTAGTTGCACACTGTGCTAACAAAATCTCATATCAGCCTATTGACCCCAGCCTGAAACACTCATTAAAGTTTATAAGACATTTTGGTGGATGAGTTGCAGTTATTCTGCTGGAAATATCATACTGAAAGCACTTTTAAATACATCATCTGCATTGACTGTTTTTTTCTATTAAAACTAAACACAACTGCTTGTTCCATCCAGTTTTCTTAGTTTATTTATCAAAGTTTTGATGGGTATGTACTCATTGTTAACTCTGCTTGTACCCCCATGGCATCTGAGACATTACAGTTCATTCTAGTCATAGCATAAACATAAAATAGCTGTTGTACTGAAAAAAAAAGAGTTATAAAACATTAAGATATCCAGTGGACTGGTATGAACTAACAAGTTGCGTGGTCACTTTTGAATGGCAAATGTTCTTTTTGTGGATACTGCGTTAATTTAATTTCTGCTTGAACTTTAGCTGTGCTAGACACTGGTGTTTGAAAAGTTTACATATTTTTCCAATGTCAAAATGTGTAAATTTAGTATTAAAGAAACAAAACATTTTTACTTGTACTGGAGAAACAAATACTTTTGTAGCAAAGAAATTAAATTAGCTAGTCTTTAAAGATAGGTCTGGCGGTCTGGCTTGCTTACAGAATTATTATTTATTCAGTAATGCAGGTCTACAGATGTTTTCCTTTTTTTCTTCCAGATAAAACTTGGGTTGTTTGAAAAGTGAAGAGATATTTCACTGTAGTGCAAAAGAAGATACAGAAGAAGAGAGCAGAATGAGAGCTGTGCAAGTGCCACATGCCTGCAGCTTGCTGTCTTTAGTGATGCTGTTCCTTCCAGTCACTGGAACGTCAAAGCAAAATATCCCAAGACTGAAGCTTTCCTATAAAGGTAAACTTTTCAGTATTTTTTTCTGATTCTGCTGCTTTTGTTTTGATGTGATGTTGCCAGCAGTTCATTTGTATTAGTTACCAGGAAAGCAAAACACAGTCCCAGAAATACATAACAGAAGCCTTAAGGATGGATGAATTCTGCCTAGGGATGGTATTAAATTCTGGGGGGCTTTTGTCATGTAGAGGCACATGTTTCTGAAATATAATTGTCTTTTTAAACTATTATTTCTGTTTGCTCCAAGAGGATATTAACAGACCATATAAATTAGAGGGGAGTGGTACTTGAAACACTCTGAGGCACACTGGAGACATTTCCCTGTGACTGGTGGGGATTTGTGAGACATGGAGGACATTCACACCTTCCTAGAGCATCAGAGAAAGTCAAGAGAGCTGTCTCAAATGTTTCAAGGGGGGCTGACATTAACTTTTGTAATTCTTTTTCTATCACTTTGTGATATATTAAACTCTGCATAAATGGTTTTCTTTGTCCTTGTCTCTCTGGATCACAAAAGTATGATTCTCTGTGGAATTTCTTAGTCTTGTGTGTAGTTCTTGTTGAGAGTGATACCATCTGGGGAGTTTCAACACAGACATATTTATGTATTAATGGACAATTTTTAAAAGAAGGTGGATTTCTTGTTCCTTTGAATGCAGAGTACACCTCCATAGGCACAGAGATGTGTCATTGATGCTGTCTTCTTTAGCTAAAACAAATGCTCTCCAGTTAGTTATGTTTCAACTGTGTCAGCACCCTGCCCTTATGGGAGCTATTTCTGCTCTGTTTCTCAAACTTATGTCTTCCTATGCCTCGCAGAATTGCACTCAGGATGGTGTGATGGGGCAGGCTGTAAAGCCTTCATCAGGGCTTATGATACGTTTATCATGAGTTTAACACCCAGAGGAATTTATTGAGTAAGCAGAATGACGTGCTATTTATTTACAGGCTTCTCTTTTGCTAGATTTGCATGCCACTGTGCATGCTATTCCACTGTGTATAGATGTGTTTGGATGTGTTTGTGTGAGAGAGACGGAGGAAGCGAGATCAAGGGATCTTGACAACATTTTTATAAATTCAGGAAACAGTTGCACTCACTGAAGCCAATGAATACAGAAACTGAAAGACATGACATGAGTTATGAAAGGTAGCAGTAAAACCCTCCTAACATACAGCCAGCCTTCTCACAGCTAGGCCGTTTGAGATAATTCCCAAAAGCAGCATATACCATATGGCAATGGCATTTATTGTGGATTTGACACTCACGATTAGTGAATTCCTCTCAACTTCAAAAGCAGATAGCCTTTGGCAAATTCCTGATGGATGCATTTGGCAGGTAAAGAGGGGGAGAAAGAAAAATTATTGAGGTCAACATAGGGAAAAAAGAAATGGCTGAAATCTTAGTTTGAAATAGTGGCAGAGACCTGCTGGGAGCGGTTGGGAAAATGCCTGAGCTCATTTAAAAAGACAATGAGCAGATGATTGATATTTAGGCCCTGACCCAAACTTTTATTAGCAACTTTATAAACCTTTCAGTTTGGCTTGAGGGATACCGCTTCCTGTCCAAACTTATCCACCTATATCCCTGTAGGGGGGGAAAATCAACAACAGATACAGATGCAAAATAGCACATAAATCTTAATTTGGACAGATGTGATGGAACTGAAAAGCCAGAAGAAGAGAATTATGAGAATTTATTGTGCCTTGTCTTACCTTTTTGGGAGGGTGGCAGGTGTGTATTTTTCCACATGGAGCAAGAAAATATTCACTGCTGTTTTTTCACACTGGTGTATTGTAAATGATACCAGTATGGCTTATCATAATTAAACCATATTTTTGTTGTTGATAACAGGATGTCAGATGTACTGAATATTTAATAAAGTTGTCAGAATTAAGTCTACCTTCCTTCCCCCAAGTGTTTCAGACAAAATAATTCCACGGTTTCTGTGAGTAAGATGTAGGAAAAACGAACTGTCTTGCCAGTTCTCGTAAAATTGTTAGTCATGTCATTGACAAGTCCTGGCGTCTCTGTTCTTTGGAATTAAGACTTGAAATATCATGAGGAGGAGAATAAAGGATTCTTTCCTTTCTTTGTGGAAAACAGATGAAAAATGGCCACACCAGGCAGCTCCAAAAACCTGCTCACATGCATGTCAGAAGGGAAGGTTTCATTCCCTTCAAGGTGCAGTGTGTTTATGGCATAGGTCCATCTTCCCAGAAGAGCTGAGAATTTACTGGGGTAAGAAAGCCGAAATTAAGCAAGATTTTGCTCTGCAGTTACTGAATCTCCCAGCTGCATCAGTCAGTAGTGGATGGGGAAGAGGGAGAGGGTGGGGTAGTTACAGATACGTCAGGATAACTGCAGGAGTGCTTCAAGAAACCACAGCATGTCACAGCTCCTTTGTGTTCAGACAGCAATTAAAATTTTAGACCTTCTCTTAATGGCAGTTACAGGTTTTCATCTTCTCTGGGTTTCCATCCTAAGAACTGGAAATCTGTGCTGGAAATGTTAAGATATTCCAGTGAGTGATGTGGGGATCAATGCAATATCATATGATGGATTTTCTTTATTGTGTGCCCCAGTCTAAAAATGTGTTCTAAAAAATTGTGCATGTATAAAACTAAAACTACACACAATTCAATTGAAATATATCAAAGTCGTATATTCTCCACCTGTGTTAATATAATACACTATAATCTTTAATTATATATTTAATTTAATTATAATCACATATCTCATCCTTTATTCCCACATTTTCCCTGATCCATTAGTTGAAAAAGTCTCTTCTTCACTTAGACTTAACTTCTAGATATTGGTTCATGTCATTCCTATCCTAGAAGTTGTCACTGCTCTTGTGATGTTTTTAGGGTGCTCTCACTGCATAGACCTTACTTAATCTATGTTTCTTAGATACTTCTACAAGTTTGAGGTGCTTTTATTATTATGTTATAGATTTAATATATGGAGGAGCTAAGAAACTGTCTTCTAATAGAAGATTCCCATCTTTAGAAAACCAGGGGATGATTTTTGAGTAATATTCCTTATTTTAATACTCTTTGTCTATCACTGCTTTCAGTCTAAGAGAAACAGTGTGTATTTATCATTTTCATACAGCTGGAGATAACCTGCGACCTTCATCCAAACTGTAGAACTCCTCAAACACAGAAGTGATGTTCAGCTTCCCTAAGCAGCACATCCTTGTTGTCTGCTGCCTCATTTAACAGCCTCATTCCAACCTCTAGAGCAGATGCTGAAGGTTTTCATATACCAGTCTCATTCATTAATGTCACTTTCAGGACAGCATCACTTACTAAAGAATGGAAGGGTCTGTGTCCTAATTCATATATGTTTAATTCATACAGTGTAGACAGTCTTGTTTCTGTCTATCTTCTGAGTAATAATATTTTTTTAATTAATTGAAAGGTACTTGCATACATATTTTCTGAATGTTTCTCTAGGTTCTACTTTATAAGAAAGAGTAGAGAACAGCCAAACCAGAAGTTTGATTGCCTTCTAAGGAAAAGAAAACAAAAATTAGACATTTTTCAATTTGTGGCTATCCTAAAATTTCCCTGCAGAAATGCAGATTCCTAATTGCAAATTTAACCCTATTGATTTGATTTACTTTGCTGCTTTTCATGGACATCTTAGTTAGTGTAGTCTTTGTTCTGAGTGAATGCATTTATTTTACAAAAGTGTGCACCCTGGTTTATTGGCTGAGGGGGATGCCCCAGCCCAGATTTGGATGTTGTCACCAGTGACATCCACAAACATATATCATACATGTGTGGGAATGTGGCCATGCCCTAGAGCCTTGCTTGCTGTGAACGGTGGTGACGTGGTCAGATGACCAGGAACCCTGCATTGTGACACAATACATAGGGAAAAGCATGCCTGAAGGTAACCTTTGGCTTTTAAAACAGGATTTACTTAGCACTGTTAAAAACAACTATGGTAGTAATTTAAATCTAATAAACAAGAGCATTATTCTCAACTGATTTGTTTTTCTCCACATTGAATGAATTAAGATGCAGTCTCACTCCCACTGAAGTCATGGCAAGTGTTTGGCCACTGAAGAAAATTGAAGCAAGATCAAATTCACACTCCTCACTTTTTTCATCTTACATAAGTAAACTAAAGACAGGCAGTTCTTTCTCCTCTGCTGAAGGATGACAGTGCTAAATCATCAGCTCCATATGGAAATTAGCCATGTTTAAGGACTGTTTAGTTTCATGCAGTGTTTTGCACACAGGATTTTCTTCCCCCTAAGAGTGATCCATTCTTTAAACATGGTGAAAAAGCAAACAGAGAACATTTTGGTGCCAGGAATTCTTTTGAAAATTTGACTGGATGAGTACACTTGCTTAATCTTCAAAAATGCTCCTTTGAACGTGCTACTTTACAATGTCAGGCATTCTGTTCTCTATATTATTTTTGCTTTAAACCTATTTTATTTTATAACTGGTGAGATACTTGTGTGTTGCATCAGAGCAGTTAGTTTGCTAAGTTTCAGTACAGCTGGCTTATTTCCATGTCATGCATCATTTAATTATCCATATAAAACATAGTTTTGCTCCTTGAGCCTCACTTAAACTGTCTGTGACACTGCAGTAATCCCAGTACCCTGATGGGTGTTGCACAACTATGACTGGTTGGAATGTGGTAAACTGGTGATATGTAAGAGAGCCTAGAAATGAGTTTGCATTTTGCAGCTGTGCTTGCTCTGCTGGAAGAGGAAGTAAAAGCAGAGAAAACCCTGCTCCTGTGGTAGCACCAGCAGCTGTAAATCTGAATGCTCATGAAAATCAAGGGAAATGTGCTGAGTGAAGAAGTGGTGTTTTCCTCTTGTTTATTATTTAATTAATTCTTGATGGCTTGTTATGTCTCAGAAAAATCTCTCAGATTCCTTTGCAGAAAAACATAAAGTGTTTATGTGAGAGTGAAGACCCTACTACTGGAAGATTGTATAGTTGCGCAAAAGACTTTGCCTGTTTTGTCTCAAAAATGCTTTCTGGAGGCAGTGATCATTGAGACTTAAAATATACCCTAGCTTGACAATGGATGGGCACTGCTGTCCATGCAAGGAAAGTCTCTTGTATATGCAGTAAACTAAATATAAATGTGAAGACATTTAGTAATAGGAAAACCAGAAAATTTCTTACAGGCATTTTTTTTTCTTTTTTTACGCTAGTGAACTTGAAGGTCAGATCCAACTATATGTTGCATTTTCTGTCATATAATTATCATATATATATAATGTCTTGGAGAGCAGCTTCCAGTCACTGACATCAACAGTTTACATAGCAGTTGAACTAAGAATAACCTTGGAGAACTGACCCACATCAACCTTTTAAGTGTAAACTGTAGCTCACTACAGTTTTTATGTTTTCATAGTCACAGAAGGGCCTCAATTGGATAAAAGAAGAATTGTGTTCAAAAAATACAGAACTATTCTGCTGAGTGTTCACTTGATTAAATCTTGGAAAATGAGAGGAAGAAAAACTGAAAGAGTGATACTTGTCAAATAATTTTTGCTCCCTTGTAAAAAGAAGGATGGGACAGCATCAAAAACAGTTTCCCTAGAAGAACAGGAAGATACATGATAAGTGGCATCAGCTCGAAAGAGGGTTCCAAACTCTTTCTTTGACTGGTTTTACTAATGACATCTGTTAAGCAAATCCAATTCAGAGCAGTTTCAGCAATCCCAACATTGTTCTCATTCTACGCATTATGGGATGGCGTGATCCACCTGATATCAGTCAGTGTAGCAGTGGACATCTGTGGTCACTGTTCAGGTTCTCAAGTCACATCCTGTTTCCCTTTCCTCCCTCCCCATTTCTGCAGTTCCATTTATAGATGAATCTCTCAAAGAAGGGCTGAGCAATATAATCTCTCCTGTATTCACAGTCCTTTGGAGATAAATACACAAAGAGATAGCAGAAAGAGACAGAAGTTCCTGTATCAGTCAGAAAGATTGGCTAACTCTGTTTGAGTGAGACAATTCTGAAGATGGTGGGAGTAACAGAGGTACATCTTTGCACAAATTTGAAAAAGCAGACATTCTACTTTCTGAAAATCCCGGTTATACCAGAATTTCGCACTGTGTTGAACCTTAACCTTTGAGAGCTAAGAGGTTATTGAAGGGACCAAAATTTTGTAATTAAGTTATTTGTCCCTTTTAGGATGGTACTAAATCTTCCTGCGCATCATCCAAGCAACCTGGATTTCTTTGAGAAGGATTGCTCACTAAATCTGTAACAGAGAATTAGCCTACATGACATTCTACACCAAAAGGAATAAGTATAAATATGAATAATAAAAAAATGTCCCCCACCAGTATTAACTAAAAGCCTACACTTGTATATCGAGAACAGCCATGGGTCATGTCATCCAAATTTATATTTGACAAGAGTTGTGTGTGAGTCTCCTTGTGCCTGCTTTGTCAAGGGAAGCTCTGGGGTTCCCAGGTTCCCGAGTGATGGGTCTGCACTTGGTGTCTGTTGGGGCTTTGGGTGCCCAGGGCCATGATGAGTTCCCTGAGGGGGCTGGGGAGGGCGGCTGGGGCTGGCCTGTGATGCGCTCTGGGTTCTGTGACAGCACAGGGGCCGTGTCACAATGGGGGCAGCTCTAAAAGGCCCCGGTGGGTGCCGCTGCCCCAGTAGAGCCTGGGCGAGTGGTGAGTGCACAGCAGTGAGGAGACAGGGCTGCTGAGGGCAGGGGTTGGAGGAGGGCTGGGGCAGGAGCTCCGGTACCGGGCCGTGCGTTCGGGCCCCGCACCCAGGGCCCAGCCCCGGCGGCAGCGCCTCGCTGAGGGCGCGGTGCTTGCTGGGGCAGCGGTGCAGGCCTGGCCACCCGCCAGCTGCCGGGGCCCTCTCCTTCCTGCCACCACATCCCTGCGGCTCCTGCACCCCCCTGTCTGTCTCCATTCTGGCCCCACTGAACCCCTTCTGTGTGTCCTCCTGCAGACCATGGCTTTACTGCCATTGATCTTCGTGCTCGTGCAAAGCCTGATCTCTTGCCGCCGGCAATGCGAGGGGTTGAGATCAGCTTGCCGCCGGCAATGCGAGGGGTTGAGCCACCCAACCTCTTTGAGCACCTGGCCCGAGATCCAGCCGCCCTCAGAGAGGTGATGCAAGCTTATGGTCAGCTGCGATATCGCCTCTGGGTGCTGCTCTCCAGCCTCTGAGAGGAGTTCCCTGCACTGAGCTGTGCTGGGATGGTCACACCCAATGGCAGCCACCTGAACTCTGCATAACTGCTGCATTTGTCACTGGCAATCCTGAAGCTGCTTTCCTGCTCCTGCGTAAGGATGATGCTGCAGCACATGGATTCCTTGTGCCAACACATCTCTGAGTGGCCTTGCCCTTCACCCTACTGTTCCAACGGTTCTGTTGACCAAATGTGTGAGACAGAAATTGGCTCCACATGCACATCCCAGCAGAAGACACTGAAGTTGAGAGAGGTTGCTTGGAGCACCTCGAAGACAGCAACCCAGCCTGTTTATGGGCTTAATGTGGTTAATTAGTTGTAGCTGTAGGCTTTTGTTGTAGTTATGTCTGTAGCTGTAGTTGCTGTAGTTCTTGTAGCTATAGCTGTAGCTTTAGTTGTATTTGTAACTGTAGTTTTAGTTAGACGTTTTTTTAGCATTCCTTCAAAAGGCCCTTTAGTGTTGTTAATTTTGCAAAGTTTCCCTTAGGTTAGAGAATTGAACTCCCCTTCTGTAGTGCCATATCTGCTTTTCAAAAATATTTGAGTATCTATGTTTGAAAAGTTAATAAAAGGAGATAAGTTTCTCAAATTGCCTGAAATGTGTCATTCTTTGTATTTAACCCTCTGTATCTTAGAGGATCTCATTCCTCTACCTCTATCTGAAATAAAGACTTTTTACAAACAGGGTATATTAAGATACATTAGGGATATATATCATTGGATATATTAGGTATGCTGTCTCTCGAGCATTCCCATAGAAATCCCTGAACCTTGAAGTGAATATGCTCTGAAGTGCCTGAAACTTTGTATGGTGTTGAACCATAGAGTTTGAAAGCTAAGAGGTTATTGAAGGGACCAAAATTTTGTAATTAAGTTATTTGTCCCTTTTAGGATGGTACTAAATCTTCCTGGACATCATCCAAGCAACCTGGGTTTCTTTGAGAAGGATTGCTCACTAAATCTGTAACAGAGAATTAGCCTACATGACATGCTGCCCCAAAAGGAATAAGTACAAATACAAATAATAAAAAAATATCCCCCACCAGTATTAAATAAAAGACTACACTTGTATATCGAGAACAGCCATGGGTCATGTCATCCAAATTTATATTTGACAAGAGTTGTGCGTGAGGCTCCTTGTGCCTGCTTTGTCAAGGGAAGCTCTGGGGTTCCCAGGTTCCCGAGTGATGGGTCTGCACTTGGTGTCTGTTGGGGCTTTGGGTGCCCAGGGCCATGATGAGTTCCCTGAGGGGGCTGGGGAGGGCGGCTGGGGCTGGCCTGTGATGCGCTCTGGGTTCTGTGACAGCACAGGGGCCGTGTCACAATGGGGGCCACTATAAAAGGCCCCAGCGGGTGCCGCTGCCCCAGTAGAGCCTGGGCAAGCGGTGAGTGCACAGCAGTGAGGAGACAGGGCTGCTGAGGGCAGGGGCTGGAGGAGGGCTGGGGCAGGGGCTCCGGTACCGGGCCGTGCGTTCGGGCCCCGCACCCAGGGCCCAGCCCCGGCGGCAGCGCCTCGCTGAGGGCGCGGTGCTTGCTGGGGCAGCGGTGCAGGCCTGGCCGCCCGCCAGCTGCCGGGGCCCTCTCCTTCCTGCCGCCACCTCCCTGCGGCTCCTGCACCCCACTGTCTGTCTACATTCTGGCCCCACTGAACCCCTTCTGTGTGTCCTCCTGCAGACCATGGCTTTACTGCCATTGCTCTTCGTGCTCGTGCAAAGCCTGATCCAGTACCCCCAGCCGGCTGGGGATGGGCTGGATGAGGCCACGCACAGGAGAATGAAGGAGCGTCAGGAGCTGCTGGACCATGAGATGGCTCGGCTGCTGCAGGAGCTGGAGCAGCAGGACAAGGGCTGGGGGGCCGTGCTCTTGGGTGCCCTGCAGCAGTGGCCATTTTGGGTCCTTGCTGGAGGTGTGCTCCTCTTGGGCCTGTGGTTTAGCTGCAGGAGAAGGAGCTGTGAGGCCAGCAGCAGTGGCAAGGACCAGAACTCCTGCAAGACCTTGGGAGATGACAGAGGAAGACAACTGGAAGAAGACAGCTATGATTCAGAAGAAGATGGAAAAAGCACTGATGTGACTGTGGAGGCAGTCAACGGCAGCGGTGGAAAGGACAGAGACCTACACAAAGAAAATGAAGGAGGAAGGAAGGATGTACAGGTGGAGGAAGACAAGGATGCTGGAAAGGAAGAAGAAGGAGAAGGAAATGAAGAGAAAACCATTGGTGGGAACATGAAGGCGGGCAACAATGATGACGTAAATGAAGGTGAAGACAGCGTGAATGGACCTGGACAATACACAGATGTCACGGTGCAGGAAAGCAGTGATGCCAATGAACAGAGAAGCAGGGATTGCACTGCGCAGGGAGATAGCAGAGATCATGGGAATGAAGCAGGCCATAGTGGTGTTGCTGCAAGTGAGGAAGAAAATAAGGAAGATATAGAAGATGGCAGTGATAGAAACAAGGATGAAGAACAGGATGATGTGAATGTGGAGGCAAACAAGAAGGAGGATAGAAAAGAAGACAAACAAGGTAATGTGCCTGTCCGTGAAAAAGAAGACAGTGATGGTGGCAAGGAAGAAAGTGGCAGTGGTGGAATGGAAGACAGTGAAAAGCCCGGAGATGCTGGGAATGAGCAAGGCATCCTTTTAGTGGACCGCATAGAGTGGCCTGTGGAGGATCTGGAGAGAGACTGCTCAGTGATAGCTGAGCTGATGGACAGCTTGACGCATGTCTTTGTGGACAGCGTGAGCAATAGCTTCTACCCAGTGCCTCAAGAAGCCATCGGGGTGGGCAGTGCCTTTGAGGGTTGGAGTCCCCGGGACTGGGATGGCGTGTACCGTGTGCTGGTCCCGCTGAATGCCCCACCAGGGCACGCCTTCCAGCTGGAGCTGAACAGTGCAGGGCAGGTGGCAGCAAGGACCTTCAGCGTCCGTGTGGAGCTGGTGTGCACGTGCGAGAAGGAGCAGCTGGGAGAGGAGCCGTTGTGCTTCCTGCACCACTCGCGGATGGAGCTGTGGCGGAAGCAGAAGCGCAGCCTCCTAGGGACACTCTGCACCAGCTCCTACCTGGACGTGGGAAAAACCTCCCACTGGTTCTGCCAGTTGGTGAGAGGCTCGTGGCTGCAAGTGCCTCAGTGGCACTCATGGCACTTGGTGCTTCAGCCCTGCAGCCGGTCCTGCCGATTGCAGCTGAGCAAAGGCAGGAGGAGCCTGAGGGTGGAGATGCTCTTTGGGGTGCGCCAAGGGGACTCCGACATCTTTGTGGTCAGCCAGCCCACAGAGGCCCAGAAAGGCGGCTCCAGCATCTTTGTGAGCAGCCAGCCCACCAAGGCCAACATCATTGCAAGCACAGCGTGGCCCGAGACATATGCAGTGGCAGAGGTGAAATTCTTCCGGCACATCGCCAGGCAGCTGCCATGTGAGATCTTGCACCTGAAATGCCTGCAGCTCTTCACCTGCATCCTGAGGGACACAGGTTTTTCCAGCTCTACCTGGAAGACTGTGGTCATGCATGTGCTGACCACAGTACCGCTGTTCCGGTGGCACAGGAGCGCATTTCCACGGCGGCTCTGGGATGTCATGGCATACCTGGACCGCTGCCTGAAGCAGACACGCCTGGAGCACTTTGTGCTAGGCAGTGAGAGGCTTCCTGCAGAGATCAGCTTGCCGCCGGCAATGCGAGGGGTTGAGCCACCCAACCTCTTTGAGCACCTGGCCCGAGATCCGGCCGCCCTCAGAGAGGCAATGCAAGCTTATGGTCGGCTGCGATATCGCCTCTGGGTGCTGCTCTCCAGCCTCTGAGAGGAGTTCCCTGCACTGAGCTGTGCTGGGATGGTCACACCCAATGGCAGCCACCTGAACTCTGCATAACTGCTGCATTTGTCACTGGCAATCCTGAAGCTGCTTTCCTGCTCCTGCGTAAGGATGATGCTGCAGCACATGGATTGCTTGTGCCAACACATCTCTGAGTGGCCTTGCCCATCACCTTACTGTTCCAATGGTTCTGTTGACCAAATGTGTGAGACAGAAACTGGCTCCACGTGCACATCCTAACAGAAGACACTGAAGTTGAGAGAGGTTTCTTGGAGCACCTCGAAGATAGCAACCTAGCCTGTTTATGGGCTTAATGTGGTTAATTAGTTGTAGCTGTAGGCTTTTGTTGTAGTCGTAACTGTAACTGTCACTGTAGCTCTTGCTGTAGTTCTTGCAGCTATAGCTGTAGCTTTAGTTGTCCTTGTAACTGTAGCTGTAGCTTTAGTTGTAGTTGTAAATGTAGTTTTAATTAGACTTGTTTATGAGCATTCCTTCTAAAGGCCCTTTAGTGTTGCCAATTTTGCAAAGTTACCCTTAATTTAGAGAATTGAACTCCCCTTCTGTTGTGCCATATCTGCTTTTCAATAATATTTGAGTGTTTATGTTTGAAAAGTTAATAAAAGGAGATAAGTTTCTCAAATTGCCTGAAATATGTCATTCTTTGTATTTTAACCTCTGTGTCTTAGAGGGTGTCCTTCCTCTACCTCTATCTGAAATAAAGACGTTTTGCAAACAGGATCTATTGAGATATTTTAGGGATATAGTATTGGATATATTAGGTATGCTTTCTCTCGAGCATTCCTATAGAAATACTTGAATCTTGAAGTGGAAATGCTCTGATGTGCCTGAAACTTTGTATGGTGTTGAAGCATAGAGTTTGAAAGCTAAGAGGTTATTGAAGGGACCAAAATTTTGTAATTAAGTTATTTGTCCCTTTTAGGATGGTACTAAATCTTCCTGCTCTTCATCTAAGCAAGCTGGATTTCTTTGAGAAAGATTGCTCACTAAATCTGTAACAGAGCATTAGCCTACATGACATTCTACCCCAAAAGGAATAAGTATAAATACGAATAATAAAAAATATCCCCCGCCAGTATTAACTAAAAGCCTACACTTGTATATCGAGAACAGCCATGGGTCATGTCATCCAAATTTATATTTGACAAGAGTTGTGTGTGAGTCTCCTTGTGCCTGCTTTGTCAAGGGAAGCTCTGGGGTTCCCGGGTTCCCGAGTGATGGGTCTGCACTTGGTGTCTGTTGGGGCTTTGGGTGCCCAGGGCCATGATGAGTTCCCTGAGGCCTGTGATGCGCTCTGGGTTCTGTGACAGCACAGGGGCCGTGTCACAATGGGGGCAGCTCTAAAAGGCCCCGGTGGGTGCCGCTGCCCCAGTAGAGCCTGGGCGAGTGGACCATGGCTTTACTGCCATTGATCTTCGTGCTCGTGCAAAGCCTGATCCAGTACCCCCAGCAGGCTGGGGATGGGCTGGATGAGGCCACGCACAGGAGAATGAAGGAGCGTCAGGAGCTGCTGGACCATGAGATGGCTCGGCTGCTGCAGGAGCTGGAGCAGCAGGACAAGGGCTGGGGGGCCGTGCTCTTGGGTGCCCTGCAGCAGTGGCCATTTTGGGTCCTTGCTGGAGTTGTTCTCCTCTTGGCCCTGTGGATTAGGTGCAGGAGAAGGAGCTGTGAGGCCAGCAATGATGATGTAAATGAAGGTGAACACAACATGAATGGACAGGAAGAATACCCGGATGTGAAGGTGCAGGAACGCAGCGATGCCAGTGAACAGAGAAGCAGGGAAAAAGAAGACCGTGATGATGGCAAGGAAGAAAGCGGGAGTGGTGAAAAGGAAGACAGAGAAAAGACCGGAGATGTTGGGAATGAGCAAGGCATCCTTTTAGTAGACCGCATAGGGTGGCCTGTGGAGGATCTGGAGAGAGACTGCTCAGTGATAGCTGAGCTGATGGAGAGCTTGATGCGTGTCTTTGTGGACAGTGTGAGCAATAGCTTCTACCCAGTGCCTCAAGAAGCCATCGGGGTGGGCAGTGCCTTTGAGGGTTGGAGTCCCGGGGACTGGGATGGTGTGTACCGTGTGCTGGTCCCACTGAATGCCCCACCAGGGCACGCCTTCCAGCTGGAGCTGAACAGTGCAGGGCAGGTGGCAGCAAGGACCTTCAGCGTCCGTGTGGAGCTGGTGTGCACGTGCCAGAAGGAGCAGCTGGGAGAGGAGCCGTTGTGCTTCCTGCACCACTCGCGGATGGAGCTGTGGCGGAAGCAGAAGCGCAGCCTCCTAGGGACACTCTGCACCAGCTCCTACCTGGACGTGGAAAAAACCTCCCACTGGTTCTGCCAGTTGGTGAGAGGCTCGTGGCTGCAAGTGCCTCAGTGGCACTCATGGCACTTGGTGCTTCAGCCCTGCAGCCGGTCCTGCCGATTGCAGCTGAGCAAAGGCAGGAAGAGCCTGAGGGTGGAGATGCTCTTTGGGGTGCGCCAAGGGGACTCCGACATCTTTGTGGTCAGCCAGCCCACAGAGGCCCAGAAAGGCGGCTCCAGCATCTTTGTGAGCAGCCAGCCCACCAAGGCCAGCATCATTGCAAGCACAGCGTGGCCCGAGACATATGCAGTGGCAGAGGTGAAATTCTTCCGGCACATCGCCAGGCAGCTGCCATGTGAGAACTTGCACCTGAAATGCCTGCAGCTCTTCACCTGCATCCTGAGGGACACAGGTTTTTCCAGCTCTACCTGGAAGACTGTGGTCATGCACGTGCTGACCACAGTACCGCTGTTCCGGTGGCACAGGAGCGCATTTCCACGGCGGCTCTGGGATGTCATGGCGTACCTGGACCGCTGCCTGCAGCTGACACGCCTGGAGCACTTTGTGCTAGGCAGTGAGAGGCTTCCTGCAGAGATCAGTTTGCTGCCGGCAATGCGAGGGGTTGAGCCACCCAACCTCTTTGAGCACCTGGCCCGAGATCCGGCCGCCCTCAGAGAGGCAATGCAAGCTTATGGTCGGCTGCGATATCGCCTCTGGGTGCTGCTCTCCAGCCTCTGAGAGGAGTTCCCTGCACTGAGCTGTGCTGGGATGGTCACACCCGATGGCAGCCACCTGAACTCTGCATAACTGCTGCATTTGTCACTGGCAATCCTGAAGCTGCTTGCCTTCTCCTGCAGACGGAAGATGCTGCAGCACATGGATTCCATGTGCAGACACGTCTCTGAGTGGCCTTGCCCATCACCTTGCACTTCCAGCAATGCTGCTGACCAAGTGCGTGAGGCAGAAACTGGCGCCACGTGCACATCCTAACAGAAGACACTGAAGTTGAGAGAGGTTGCTTGGAGCACCTCGAAGACAGCAACCTAGCCTGTTTATGGGCTTAATGTGGTTAATTAGTTGTAGCTGTAGGCTTTTGTTGTAGTTGTAGTTTTACTTGTAACTGTAACTGTATCTTGTTTTAGTTCTAACTGTAGCTGTAGCTGTAGCATTAGTTGTACATGTAACTGTAGCTGTAGCTTTCCTTGTAGTTGTAGCTGTAGCTTTAGTTAGACTTGTTTATCAGCATTTTTTGTAAAGGCCCTTTATTGTACTAGTTTTGCAAAGTTAGCCTTATTTTAGAGAATTGAACTACACTTCTATAGTGCCATGTCTGCTTTTCAATAATATTTGGATATCTATGTTTGAAAAATTAATAAAAGGAGAGAAGTTTCTCAAATCACATGAAATGTGTTATTCTTTGCATTTAACCCTCTGTATCTTAGAGGATCTCATTCCTCTACCCCTATCTGAAATAACGACGTTTTGCAAACAGGGATGTTGCACATATTAAATATGCTGTCTCTTGAGCATTCCCAGAGAAATGCTTGAGGTTTGAAATAAAGATACCCTGAAATGCCTGAGATTTTGCAGCAGAATTTTTTAGGAATCTTTGGAAAAGTTTTCTTTACACTGTCACTTCTATACGCTCCTGGGGAGGAATTCAGTCTTAAGAGATGAAGACAGAGAAGTCCCTAACAGCAAAACATGTGGTTTAATACATCTTTTTTGGTCTTCTCATAACCAATGTTTTGACACAAAATTGTGACAGCAGAAAGTCATGTTTTCTCTATTCCTGGTTATCTCTGTCCTTTTGGAATGGCTCTGCTGGTCTACAAATATAATCTTTTCCACCAGGCCTATATAATACTGTGTAGCAATGAGAGCCACTTTGCATGCACAGCTTTGTCCTTGATGAGATGCAGCTAAACAAAATATAATTTACTTCTTGCAGTACATAGTAGAAATTTGTAGTAGTTTGGAAGTATTCGTTCTCTGTGCCTTTGTACCAATACAGCTGGGGTCAACTAGTCAATTTTAAACTTAGAATTCGTTAGGAATTTGATAAATAGCTGCAGTCATGCTATAAATACTTTATCTCAAAAGTTTGGTTGAGAATTTCTACAATTCCCATGTAAATCTTCATGTGTACTCTCCAACATGAGAAAGGACTTGCTCCTCCGTAAAGGAAAGTGAGGCGACCTCTGTTTTGTGTTGTATATAAAAATTATACAGCCTTTAATTTCAGAGGCCTTCAAAGGTGTCATTAGGTGTAACTGTTTTGAAAGAGGTTGTGATGTTCCCTTTCGGTGTGGTTTGTCATTAAAAAAAGTGTGTAACTGTTCACAAAGGGAATTCTGAGTCTCAGCCAAGTTGGCTCCACATTGTTGCATTCTTACACTATGCTGGAGTTGAGGAATGGTAGCATCGTCACCACAGATGTGACTTGATGCTAAGAAGCCTAAATATGTTTTATAAATGCAAGTACGTATTATCAGAACAGAATGACATTTTTGCTGTTGAAGCCTTTTTGCTGTGGCTCTGCTGCTGGAGATTTTTTAAGAGTTTTTTTAAAGTAATCAATGATCATGCTGCTGTAAGCCAAGTCCACTGAGATACTGTGCTAAATGAATAAAACCCGGTCACTATTCCAGCTTCTACCACTCAGCAGTGAATTATTAACCCAGAAGGGAGTTAGCTGGATGCTTTCTAAATCACCAAGCTGGAAAAAACTATTTAATTTTGAGGAAAACAGCAAATAGAGACTATAAAACTGAGTGCTGGACATGTACTCATGAAAGATCATCCCTGTAACTTACTTTGTTACTGTGCCTTGTGAGAATGCTGTTTCTGTGTTAGCCAGGCTACAGAGATGCAGTGATTCAAATTGACAGCTTGCTCTAAGCTTCAAAATCACTGGGAAATGTGCTTTTCACAGTAAATTTTTCCAGTGTAATGTCCTTGGTGATAGTAAATATGTCTCACTGTGAAGGGAAATTTCAACGCATAAGATTGGATTGCGTTGTTTTATGGAGTGAGAACAGTGATTAATTTGGCTGCAATTTAATCAACCCTCTGTTAATGTTTACTTGTGAAGTTTTATTAGGTCATGTTACAGTTATAATCTTATCAATGGTCATGCTCAGAGTCTTACTTCCAAGCTGTTTTCAGTAGTAAATGACTGGCCAAACCTGATTCTTCATTATTTGCAGCTTGTGTTGTCATCTGCATCAGTAAGAAAGGAGTGTGCAGTGTTGGTATTTCAATCTGGAATATTCTACGGATGTTTTCCTTATGATGTAATGAAATAAATGATTGTACAAGGCATCAGACAGGGCTCGTTCCCGCTTGAGTATTTCAGTCATGAGGCAGCATTTTCCCCTTACTGTTGTAGCTCTTCTAGGTGGGGATTTTTTAGAGAAATTCTAGAACTGTTAAACAACAGATGAGAAATATCCATTTGGAATGGTTTCTTCAGAGATCATCCCTTTCAAATAAGAATGAAATGGGAAGTAGAGAGGAGTCTCAGTCATCATCCTTCATGTATGTGGAGAATCAAATCCACATATTTGTGCAATTGACACTTTTGCAAAGGCCCATGCTTTTATTTGCACAAGCATATAATTTATCATTCCTTAGATCAAATTCCTGTGGCTGCAGATGGGAAGGAATTTTCCCTCATATTCTGTATGTTAGTTGCTTGTGTCCTACAAGTGAGGACTGAGGTTTTTATAGTACCATGTTAACCATGAGCTGTTCCTAAGTGATCTTGGTGGCAGCTAATAAGCAGATCTTTTAAACTGTTACTAGTTTAGAAAAACCCTGTCATCTTTGTCTTCACAGAAAATATGAGAGAAAGGACAGTGCTGATGTATAGCAGTGTAGTGCCCAGCATTGGATATAATTTTTCAATGTGAAGCAGGATTTTTTTTTCCAAAGAGCTGCCAAGTAAATCTCACCTAGTGGAATAGGAGTGGCAATACATGGCAATTTATTTTCAGATTGTACCTTAACAACACCCTGCACTGAGCCAAACAAACACACATAAACTTAAATAGAAGTGACAGAGCCAAAAAATAATTGTCTTAATTATATTCCAGTTAGTCAGATTAGTAATGATAAAATATTTTTCCTCCCAGAGTGCTGTTTATTAGCTGGCACCAGAACTTAATATTTTTTTGCCTGTCATATGGTTTGTGAGAGACCTTGGAGAAAAATATTTGGGTGGGGTTTTTTTCCTTTTATTTCATTCAGGACTTTTTCTCCAAAACACTGTTCATGATCAGGATGTGCAAATGACTTTTGCAGTAAGTCTGGCTTTTCTAGCAGGAATGCTACATTGTCCATCCAGTGCCAGGAGGGTGGAAATACCCTTAATTTTATGTTCAGTTTAAATACAGGATTTGCCTTTCTGTCTGATGATTTTCAAATAGTTTAGTTTGGAGAGCTTGCTTGTGGAAGAACTGATTCACATGTTTATTTTCTGTTCCCAAAAGTAATGACTACCAAACAAGACTTAACTATCCTTGTGCTCTTTTCTATATGTTGTTTGTGTCCTCATCCAGAATTACATCCACAGAGTATTCATTAGGCAGAATGTTACAGAATTTTTATTTTACAGCCCTTTAGCTTTTTTTGCAGCTTTATAGATTCTTTCATTAGTTTCACAGAGCATTTTTTTTTCTTAGGTTTTTAAAGAGATTTGGAGCTACTGTTAATTCACAGTAAAACTTTATTGTCAAATTTTTGATTTTAATAGGGATCTTAAAGGTGTTGCTACTGGATATTCCCCTTACTATACCATCCTCACTGAATTGGAATAAATTATCTTTGAAGATCCCTTGATTGGCTGGAGAAGGAGGCCTGTGTAAGCCATGTGAAATTCAACAAGGCCAAGTACAAGATCCTATACTTTGGGTCAGGGCACAGTACTTGATATCAACACAGACTGGATGATAGATTGTGTGATGAATAGGTTGAGTGCAGCCCTGCAGAGAAGAACTTGGGGAAATGGTAAATGAAAAAAAAAAATATTTGAGCCAGCAGTGTGTGCTCACAGCCTGCAAAGCTGGCTGTACCCTGGGCTGTACCACAAGAAGTGTGTTCAACAGGTAGAGGGAGGGGATTCTGCCTCTGCAGTCTGCTCTGGTGAGACCCCCACCTGCAGTCCTACATTCAGTTCTGGGGCACCCGGTTCAAAAAAGACATGAACCTTGGAATGAATCTTGAGAAGAGTCCTGGTCATGGTCAGAGGCTGTAAGACCTTCCATATCAGGACAGGCTGAGAGGTTTGGGGTTCTTCCACCAGGAGAGCTGATGGCTCTGAGGAGACCTTATTGTAGCTTTTCAATATATAAAGGGGGCTTGTAAAAAAGATGAGCAAGGACTTTTTACCAAAGCCTTTAGTGACAGGACAAGGGGCAGTAGTTTTAAACTGGAAGAGAGTAGATAGAAACTGGATATAAGAAAGACATTTTCCATTATGAGAGTGGTGAGAAACTGGCACATGTTGCCCAGAGAAGTTGTGGATGCCCCATCCCTGGAAGTGTTCATGGCCATGTTATGTGGGGCTTTGACCAAGCTGATCTAGTGAAGGATGTTCCTTCTCATACTGAGGGAGTTGAACTGGATGATCTTCAAATGTCCCTACCCACTATTTCCTGCTCCTAATTATTCTTGGCTGGCATTGACCTTCTTTGCTGCTTTATATTTGGAGCACCAAATATGGTGAGGTATTAATCCTTGAGCATGTGTATCCGTGAGTATGGTAATATAAACATAATTAGTTTTCTTAGAATGAAGGAAAGATATAGCACACATTTTGCAAAGATCTATCTTCTGTGGTTTCTAATTTATGTTCAGTTTCTGGTTCTTCTATGCCATACAGATAATTTATTCAGAAAATTTTACATAGAAAAATATTTTGTGAAAGTAACTGTTACCCAATTTGGAAGTAAAAACCCCCCCAGAGAACCCCAGAGTTAACAGGAACTGTATTATGACTTTGGAAAGACATGCTTCAAGACTGCACTTATCTCGCTGGTATACTCCATGCTGGTTGCATATATTTATTAAAGACACTGATGAGTCATATATAAACATTTTGGATTATAAAGATTTTCTTTGTTTTCCCACAGACTTGCTGCTTTCAAACAGCTGCATCCCATTCCTGGGCTCAGCAGAGGGGCTTGATTTTCGAACCCTACTGCTAGATGAGGAGAGGGGCCGGCTGCTAGTTGGGACAAAGGACCACATCTTCCTGCTCAACTTGATTGATGTAAACAAAAATGTAAAAAAGGTCAGTGTGCTTTTCATGGAGTTTACCTCCTAAGTTAAATTTTGTTAAATTCCTTTTTTGTTTGTTTTGGTTTGTGTTTTTATTTATTTATTTCTTCACTGGGTAACTGCAGATTCGTTGTGCAATGCAGTTTACCAAGATTTGATAATCTCACCTCCCCCAGTTATACATATTATCTTTAATCAATTGAATTTCTCATGCTATATGATCTCCTGTGTGACTGATGACCTGCAAGAGATTAGCTATGTGGAAGAGCTCTGCAGTGCATGAAAATAGCATCAAAATATCAGCAAACAGGAAAAATGTAGCTCTGAGTGTTCACTTCTCAACTCCTCTGGTCATGGTTACCCTCTTCATTTAAAAGCATTTGGAAGGAAATAACTGAAGACAGCTCTTTCATTGCTTCCTGGCATCACTGGGATTGCTTTACTGTAATACTGAACAGAGCAGAAGCAATTTGGATGTTTTAAATTATAGTAAAATGTAAGTGGCAATTTTAGCATTTTTGTTAATATCTAGAATTACTAGTGATAGAAAAAGCTCCACTGGGATCTGCTGTAGTCCCTTGCCTGTGCCCAGTGACAATGTGTTAAATTGAGATAATAAGATGACAATTTAGCCTTCAATATTTCTACCAGACATGGTGAACTGGAGCTTTTGTAAGTGCAGTTGACTGCTATGGGTGAAAACCAGATGCTTGCACAGGAACAAATGAAAACTGGTTTCCTGCTTCTTCCAGATATGAAGAAAATTTGAATTCTCAGCTGTGTTTGGTATTTTCTTTAGGCACCAGAGGGGAGTTTTAAATTACTGCTTTCTGCTGCCAGCTCTGAAGAGGTAACTGACCCTGAATTAATGCGATTGCAGGCAGGGGCTGAACAGGTGGAACAAGATACTATTTTGCTCACATGTTTGAGAGCAACACTTGCTGTCATTGTATAGAAGAGATACAGTACCAGGCAGAATATCTTGTTACCTATCTTGACTTCAGCAATTCTGCACATGCCAGTTTTTGTAAAACTCAGATTCTGAGTATTTCAGAAAATTTCTCCTTAGGATGCTTTATCAACCACTTAGCTTGCTTCTGTCATCTCAGTAACTGACTCAAAATCCACCCCCCGCCCCCCCCCAGGCTATTGCATTAATAACAGCACTGCTAATTATAATTGCAAATTTTCAGACTACAAATTGATTTTTGATGTAGGCTTTCTGTAGCAAACAAGTTTTGTTTGTGTGAAAGGCAGGCTTTTGTTTCTGTGGGACGCTGCTTGCCTCCTGAGAGATGCTGAGTGCTGTCACTTCCCATTATGTTCAGTTGGGCTTTATGAGCCCAGACCTTGCTGGAGGTGGCAGCCCCCTGTGTGAGCCGCCCCTCAGTCCAAGCTGGTGACATTTTGCCTTTGGCCAAGCCCCCACTGATCATTATGGACCTTGTGCCTTCCAAGAAGAGCAGAACACAGAGCCAGGAGAAGTAACCTGCAGTCAGACAGTGATATAGATGTTACAAAGAAAAGACTCTGTATTTGGGAGGAAAATTTGCATTTCCTAAGATGAATAGAGAATATATGCTTACATATCTGTGGAAACCTGAAAGGAGGGAATAAAATTCCTAACCACTTGCATATCTAGACTAAACATGTGTGCAGGTTCAAATACTTCTACTTGTTTTAGTAGTAAACTAATAACAGTTTAACTATTCAGATAATATTTAACTTCTTAGAAAAGAAACACATGAGGCAAAATATATCTAAGTGGGAAGAAGTGACTTGAGAAGCCTTGCAGAGCATCCTGGTGTGATTTCCAAGGCCTCCATGGGCATTCAGCAACTTTATAAATGTATCTTCTTGCGTAAACGCCCAGGTAACACAAGGCAATGTCACACAAGTGTTTCTCTTTAATTCCATTGCTCTTGGTTGGTTGAATCTTGTCAGTGGAGGGAAGGGATGAGGTGAAGGAAGTAGCGTGAGGAGCTGTGTATAAATCTCAGTGCTGAGGAGGATGCTGGAGGATTCTCTGCAGTAGCAGGGAAGTGTCAGAAAGTAGCATTTGCCGGTGCTGTGTTTAGACTGACCGTAGTTTGGGTTGGCTCCGCGCCAGGCGGCTCGCTTCCAGCCTTTCCCAGCGTGAGGAAACCACACATGTTGGGACTACAAGGGTCTGAAGTGTGTCCTTTGTACTCCTCTGGAGTATGAGTCGTCTGGAAAAAATAATCTGCTTATACACAGCCACTAAAATGAGTCGAAATTGATTAGAATAATAAGTTTCTGCCTGTAAATGATGTGTTTATTAATGACTTTGAGGAAGGAGTGTTAAAAGCAAGCTGAGGGGGCAAGAGAGGTATAACGACTTTGAGACTAGAGTGCAAAGTTGTTCATAGTTTAGGGTTTCCTTTCTTTAAAACAAAGCTGAACATTAACTTTAGAATGCTCTGTCCTGGGTAGATTCATCTTATTTAAATAAAGCTCTCAGTTTCATATATTTGTTTTGTTAGGAGCTACTGATACCTCCAAAAGCCAAATCAGAATCCCCAACAATTTATTCTCATATGTGGATATAATTACTTGGCAAGATTATATTTTAGAGTCTGAAGCTCTGTATTAAGACATTTCTAGAATAGTATTCAGAGAAACATCCAAAGCCTTGTATCCTGCTCCCTTCTCTAATGTATACATATATATAATTTAATAACTTCCTTTTTAAAACCTATTTATTTACCTAAATTAGTTAATTTGACTTACATAGATTAAGTTATGGCTTTATTTCCTGGTGTATTTTTCCTTATGAAATAAATCAATAGTTCTGCTGGAGTCCGAATTTCTTAAATCATTGTAGTTGTTATTCAATTTATTGTGTAATAGGTTGAAAACTTCCTTAGCTGGCAGCTTAAAAAAAGTCTGTCCGGTTTCCAGTGCTTGCAAACCTCATTATAAAACAACAGTAAGTACTGCAGTGTAATAAGCAAGTCTTCCAGAATGACAGGCAAATGCAGAAAGCTAAAGTGATTATAGTCAATAAATATATAAAGTTTAGCAATGGATAATCATCTTTCTGTAGCAGGGATATATTTTCTCTGAAGTTTTCCTGTACAGAAGCCTTTAGCTTCTGTTGCTGCAGTGGCATTATCAAGTGCCATGGTCTTTTTTTGAAAGATCCTCACATGCCTGACAAATTCTGCAAGCTGTCTGCAAACTGGAAGAATTGAGATTTCTTCCTATGAGTAAAATAAAGATGATTTGTGAAAGAAAGCAGTTCTGCTGAAGGCCTCTGTGCCATTACCACCAGAAGTGCTGTGTAAAACAAAAGGATGTTTAACAGCATGAGAGGCTGAAAAACTGGAGAAGAAATTCTGTAGGAACACCAGGCCCTGGGATCCTGCTGGAAACATTACTTTAGTACATCAAATTTTCTCGTGAGTTTGCTTAAAGCCTTTTCTATTTTACTCCTTAAGCTAAATAAATAGGAAATACAGGATGTTGTCAGCTGGGTAAACAGTGGGTAAATAGCTGCAGAGCAGTGGTGCCCCTCTCTGTGGCTGTGCTAACAGTGCACACGGGGTTACATGTCAGCGCGATTATCACGGTGTGATCCGCAGGCGACCCGCCCAGCTCCGCGGGAATAGGAATGCTATCAAGGCCTGACAAGCTTTTGAAAAGCTGCCAGCCTGCAGGAGCTGTCAGTGCTAGAAGACACAGCCCCATGTGGGCCAAATAGATAAACATGTCAGATCCCCAATAGCAGCTTTGGAGCAAGCTGTTTTCATCTGTCCCAGTGTGCACTGGCTCTGGGTCACAAATTATCATCGCTTGGAGCATCCTTGGTTTGTAGTTGCTACTGTTTCTCTGGCATGTGCAGCCGTCTTGTGACATCCTTGAATGCCCTCTTCTATTGACTATTTTCTGTATTTTGCAGGAAAAAATATACATATCCAAAAATATATATTTATCTGCTGGGTAAATGCTTATGAAATAGCTGCACGTAATTTTTTTCTATAACTCCAGTGCTTGCCAACAGTTCAAGTGGGCTTGTATTTCAGCACTATTTGCAGTGTGACCCACCCATCTCTGCAGGAAGGGGAACATGTATGCAAATACATATGCATATTTATGTAAAACAGCACCCTTGAGATGCAGGAGCAGAATTTTACATTCATTGCTCTGAGAAACTTTCTGTCAGTCTATATAAGCATGGTCTCAATTAGGAATGAACCCAGTGGGAATTTAGCCAGTACTGAAAGGAGGCTTTGGTTCTTGCCATCAGGCCTGAGCCTCAGGAATACATACAGAGTCTGAGGTGTTTATTGCAGCCTTGAAACACAGTAGTACCAAGTTGGTCCTTCTTAAAAAATATGTGCTGCTTATTCTATAGCTCAAAGGAAGTTAGCTTCCTGCCTGTCAGCAAAACTGCAGACAGTCTGAAGGTGAAGCTTTCTTGACCTGTCAGAAGAAAAAGTTAGCCAGGAAATATTATTGAAGGCCAGAGAGTCATGTGGAAGCCACTGGAGATATCTAAACATAGGAGAATGGGGCATCAGGATAATCTAGGATAAACCCAGTGGAACTTCAGGTTAGGGACTTCCAGAGGCAGAGGTGATACCTTTGTGCTTGCGAGCCCTTGGAGGGGTGATGGACTCCCCAGGAACCACAAACAAACCGCACCAGAGGGGTCTTACTTCGGAACTATTTATTCTACAAAGTTGTCTGACAGACTTAAATTTAGGCACCTGTGTAGACAAAGTGAAAGCTTCTGAAAAGTGTTTACAGACACAAAAGCACAGATGGAGCAAAACGTGAAGAAAGCAGTATGAATCCAGAATGACAGCAGTCCTAGCTGGAAGAGAGTGTCTCTGTTATTTCCTTTTGCATTGTTGCCATAAATTCTGTTTCCATAAACATCCGCTGTCATTTTTGTGTTTTACCCATGTGTTTAGCTATAAAGAATGGCCAGTATCCTGCTCTCTGAAAACATTTGGTTATATTGGTCATTGACTTTTTCAAAGGTAG